CACCGTGGTTTGAAACTGTACTCTCAACAATGTCGTGCCTATTTGATAAAACGGTTGCATTACGTCCAACGGAGCAAGCGAGGATGGTTCGTGGAGGTCGTGGTCCCTGTCCTATGCATGGTTGTTTTACTGGTAGTCACTGCCAACTATCCCGTGGATATGACCCAACCAAGTATGCCACTACACCCCTGGCTTATGGCCAACAAGAATAATGTCCCCCACCTCCAGACCTTCTTCGCTAACTCGCCCACGCAAAATCCAAGTATCAGTCAGGTGTCTCAGCTGTATTCGAGTGAAATTGCGTCAGCCAGAGGGTGGTCGGGGACCCGGTGTCTTCCCAAATCAGTTTACGAGTTGAGACCGGGCAAATTTGATTTTTGTAACCTTGAGGACTATACGATGCCAAATCCATTGCCAGCGCTCTCAGAAGCTGGTATCCTGGAAGTGAAGGCATCAGAAAATATCAGCTGTTCTTGCGATTCTGGCGAGATATTGTGTCCGCAAGGATCTATTGTCGAACCACCCAGGCACCTGTTGCCCTCGACAGACTACTTAATGAACCTGACCCACTACAACGTGTCTAATTTTCTACTGAAGACTCGCAACGAAGCAATATTGAAGCGGTATGGAGGTCTGAATTTCCTTGTAAGTGATAACCCCGAGAAGATAGTTGCCACGAAAGAATTTCTCTCGAACAGGACGCGGCTAGAAGCCCTGTTAAATAGCACACTGTCCAGTCCAGAGTTGACGTCAATTGGAACGAAGCTTGGGAGTTTCTTGTCGGACAGTCTCCCCCCCACACATTACGCCCGAATTTGGTACCACAACAAGGGCTACCCCTCATCCACTGCCTACCTTAATGTTTTTCACAATCTACAGCTAAGAATGTTCTTAGCGAAAAACAATATTTATCCAGGCAAGTCACTTTCTATTTCTATGTCCATTCGCTGTGTCCCATAATTCGTCATGCTAGACTTATGTATGAATCTAGGAAACGAACGGCTAGTTGATCTGTGGCTGCGTAATTAGACAACAGCTCAGGTCTGTCCTCCAGAAACGCATTAGCGAATTCTTCTTCCCGGTATTCCGTTTACGCAGTTTGATATTACCTCCACTTCATCACCCAGGTTTTTAATGTCCTTGGTATATATAAAACGAAGATTTGAAAGTCATTTCAATAATTCGCCACTTTAGACATATCCCCCATAAAAGGTGTAGGGCAGTTAACGTAACGTGAGGGATTCAATTGCATTGCACAATATTTAAAAGGCGTGTGTTTTAACTGAAGCGACGCCACGTCTGCTCAATGTTGCCGTGTTTGGATGTCATGGTCACTTTCACTCCCGAAATGCGCCATAATTCTGGAATTTCCAGTCATTGAAAATGGTGGCGGCTGGTAGATTGTGCATCGTGATTTAAGGGCATGGAGAAGTGCTTGCTGTTTAGGCACCTGCCAACACCTGTTGGCAAAACGGTCTGGATCTCCTATTCACTGGATATATCGACCAATTTTTACAACCCCCTTTTCTTGTTTCCAAAGTTCATCTTAGCGTGAAAACCTCAAGCACACTTGCGAAAACGTTGCAGAAATGAGACAGTCCATACAAAGTGCACTAGTGGTAACGTCATGGCTAAATTAGCAGTTTAATTTCAAGACATGTCCGTTTGACTGCCTTGAAGCTTTATCTATCTAGCCGAAATAGGAGTAGATTCTGACTGGTCCCAAATGTTTTTTTCTCAGATTGGTCAAGTTAGGACCTTAACACACAAGGGAATAAACTTTATTTGTTACCTTCCACGGTGAGACCCAGTGTCCACTCTATTTGTTTCGTGACCTCTCATATTCATGGCCATAATGCAAGACGACCTGCTTTCGTCGAAAAAAGGTTCCCTTTTACGATTCTTGCGCATTCGACTATAGATCAACAATGTCTGTGGTAGTCAAGTTCGAGTTCCACAGGCAACACCATTCCAGATTTGTGTTCTGCTTCTTTTGACTCAATACGGTCGATGGGAGGGACCTAAAGTGTGGATCCACCCCTTTATGTATACAACACAAGCAGCAGCTTAGGTGAGACCAGAAACTGCTGGGCCTTAGATCATTTCTACTACTTACATCATTTGACTTGAATTTTATAGATCCGGAAAATTATGGTTTGGCGATCGCCAATTTCCCCCTTCCCACAGGCCAGGGACAAGCCACTCGGGTTCTATTGAATTCGCTTTCAATCGAGCTTACCAAAGCCATTGGTGTCATCGTTGCACTTTCCTTCGTCTCCTCTTCGTTTGCAAGCTTCATTATCCGTGAGAAGCATAGTGGTGCCATGGCGATGCAGTTTCTCTCCGGTCACAGCCGCTTAATCTACTGGTCTATGTCTTACGTCTGGGATTTCATTTCATTCCTCATTCCCATTGCCTTTATCATTATCATCTTCGTAATCTTTGATGAACAGGCTTACATTGGCAAGGGGCAAATCGGCGCCTTCATCGTTCTTCTGGTTGTGTACGGTTTGGCCATCACTCCTCTGATGTACTGCCTCGTCTTCATCTTTCGTGTACCCTCACTTGCCTTTGTATCTTTTCTTGCACTGAATATTCTCGTTAGCCTCACCACCGCCATACTTGTCCATACCTTGGAGCTCACTTCACTCGATAACCCCGATGTGTCCTCCGCGGCTGAGGTCCTCGCAAACCTCTTCCTCATTTTCCCACAGTTTGCATTCAGCCGAGGCTTCTATGAATTAGCGAAGGGCTACGCAGTTAAGAAATTCGGCCTTGACCAGCTCATCGAGAACAATAATCTCTTTTCCTGGAAGCCATTAACAGAGAAGCTAGTTGCCATGACAATTGAAGCAGTCGTATTTTCTGGAATCCTTCTTCTTGTTGAATATTCCAGGTTATGGAATGTATGTGGAAAATTCAAAAATAAAGGCAGTAGTGTGGAACATGGGCTAGGAATCAGTGCCGACGTGATGGAGGAGAGAGAACGAGTAGAAAATGTATGTTATGTCTATCGTCACATCACAGTTTGCTTATCCGCATACTTTATGCTTAGTTACCTGCCGAACAACATTGTAAATACCAATTCAATGAAATCAGATACATTCCTGTATTTGAAACTAAACTAAATTTCGCTGATATGAAGCAATTGTATGCCAAAATCAGCCAGAAACGTGAAACACAATGAAATACTCTATCATCACAGACATGTTAAGAATTAATGGCAGCAGGAGGTTTATGTTGATGGCCCTTATTTTTACCACTAAGCGAAATGGGTTGTGTTTTACTTCGATTGACCAGCTTCTTTTGACAAGACCAATTAATGGTGGGGGCCTAAATTATTATGCAGACAAATACTATGCAGTTACTTTTGTCTTGCGGTAAAATCCCACGTAGCTAGAAAAGATAGGCCGAAACCTGTTCATGCGCTTCGTGAGTGTATTTTGCTTAAACTGCTCTAATTGTCCTGCGCCCAGCTAAAGGTTAACTTCTGGGTGGTTTATTCGTTCTCTCTCAATTTCCTCTTTTGATGTCCAGTTACTAAGTGCTTGTTGGTACTGAGTTTGCCGCAGTGACCTCACGACTAAGAATAATTGTCCAAATCTGGCTTAAGTCTGCACTGCCGCTAGCTCTTACTGTAGCTAGCAAAGCATAACGGCATGTAAAGCTGAATAATCAGTGGTGTTTTACCAGTGGTTTGTTCGTAGACAGTCTTGGTGTTGCAGCATTAGATCTCCAACTTGACACTGGACAGAAGTCGTTGAATCACCCGCCTCATGTCAGCAGTTGTAGGCACCACCGATCATAGGGAGAGGCTTATCTGTGTGGAGGTGGCACTTTTCATAAGGCATCATTTATTTACGTAAGGTGTAAATAAAAAATGCATTCTGGCACGTCAGGGTTTGAACTGTGTTTTTTGGGCTGAAGAAACAACGGGAGTGCGGTAACGCTTGATTTTGACGAAAACCTTCTCGGTTGCCAGGTAGGTTACGGTGCTCTTCGAGCTGTTAATCACAGCCACCATATATTGCCACGCCTAACAACCGTGATGGTACAAGAAGCCATTCACGAAATTGTACGTTTAATGACTTGAGTGCAAACCACTCGGAGTGCACATTAGAGTCCACGATGTTTGAAAGGTGGCGAAGAATGACTGAAACAAGAATGAATTCATGGTTCTACTTGATCAAGTATTCGTAAACTAGTTTCACATACTCAAAATCTCAAGCTGTTAAATATTGTAAAATAATTTTAGCTTTGCAATGTAAGTCGGTTATACATTACTATGCAACGTAAATGACTAGGAGTTAGTAGGTTCGCCAAGACACATCTATTCTTTGTGTGTTCGTGAGATTAGGGGGTTTTGGAAATGTTTGCTCACGTTGAGTCGTTGAATACATTTTGTGTTA